CCGATATGCTGAGGCCGAGGAGGTGGAGAAGTATCACCAGCATCCGGACCAGCAGCCCCCGAGGGCTGACAAAAAACATAACCGAGGGCCGGGGGCTCCTCCAAATCACCCCAAGACTTCGGGACCCTCTGATGACCGCCCTCAGCAAGGCCAAGCCAAGCCCGGGGGAGGATATAAGAGCAACCCCAAGACTTGGGCACAGCCCATTCTCCTGGACCACCCTCGGACACCATTGACGCACCCCGTCAGCATCATCCTCGATTTTGCCGAGGAGAGGGGCCTCGTTGAGCGTGATTCTCGCGCACCCCCGGAGGTACACGCTATCAACCCTCAGTTCCCCTACTGTCGCTTCCACCGGCACCAGGGGCACAAGACCGAGGACTGCCATCAGCTGAAGACGGCCATCGAGAGATTAATACAGGCGGGGCACCTGTCCCAATTTGTCCAGAGCCCTCGGCAGGAGGGACCTTCTCATCAGGGGCCTCCCCGAGGGCACCACACGAAGGTAAATGCTTGGGTAAACCCGAATACCACCCCCCTCGGCAAGAAGAGGGAGATTGGAAACTTGGAAGAAGAGGAGGAGGAATACCCCCACTACCAGGAGAAAAAACGCCACATCCTCATGATCACCGGTGGCAATACAGGGGGCGATTCCACCAGCCAACGAAAGAAGTGGGCTCAATTGCTTTACGTGGGGGAAGTCACTCATATGCCCCCGGTAAAGCGACTGAGGGAGGAACCCATCACCTTCACCAACGCAGATCTCCCTCCTACTTCTTCTCCTCACAGGGATGCCTTGGTGATTCGGACGGAGATAAACGACACCATCATTCACCGAACTTACATTGACACGGGCAGCTCCGTCAATGTAATGTACCTCAGCACCTTCAGAGAGCTGCATCTGGAGAGGGGGTCCCTTCGGCCCATTAAGACCCCTCTTGCCGGCTTCACCGGCGATACTATTGATTCCGAGGGGGTAATAACCCTCCTGGTGATCTTCGGCGACGGGCTCCATAGAGCCCAGCTCGAAGTGGAGTTCGTCGTCGTCAACATTGACTGCGCCCACAACATCATCCTCGGCCGGCCAGCCCTCGAGGACCTCGAAGCCATCATCTCCATGAGGCACCTCTGCCTCAAGTTTCCCGCCGAGGGGGGCATTGGCTACTCCCGGGGGAACCATAAAATTGCCCGCGCCTGCTATCTTCAGGTCACTAAGAAGGTAAGTAAGGCGGAATTCCGTGTTGACACCATCACCAGAGCCATCGACCAAGAGGAAAGAAGGCCGAGGGCTGAACCGGCCGAGGACGTAGAAGACGTCGCGCTCGATCCGGCCCAGCCGGAGAGAGTCGTGAAGATTGGAGCCCAGCTCCCTGAAGATTTGAAGACCGGTATCACCGACGCCCTCCGCGCCTACTCCACTGTCTTTGCATGGGGATCGGAGGACATGCCGGGAATAAGCCGAAGGGTCATCACCCACCGCCTCTCGGTGGACCCCTCGGCAAAAGCAGTACAACAACGAAGGAGACCCCTCTCCGCCGAGAGGAGGGAATTCGTGAAGAAGGAGGTCGCCATGCTCCTCTCAATTAAGCACATCAAGGAGGTGAAATACCCCTCATGGCTAGCAAATGTAGTCCTCGCACAGAAGCCCCCTACCTTCCGCATGTGCGTGGACTACACCGATCTCAACAAAGCGTGCTGATGGACAGTGTACCCGGGGGTATATATCCGAAGGGTTATTACGGGGAATAACTTAGAGAGAAGTCAGAGCAAACAAGTAAGAGAGAGAGTGTATATTCGATATGTATTTTTTGTGGTTACAAATGGGGAAATGGGGTGCTATTTATAGTAGCAATAAATGCCGGGCAGGGACACGTGTCAAGCGCCCATTGGCCGAGGGGTCGCCTCAACTGGTTGGCGCTGGCAGCCGCATGTGGTCGCATTTAATGCGGCTGTTGGATGGGACGTCTGTGCAGAGTACGGTGATCTGTACGCATGTGAGGCGGATATCTTGTCGAGTGAGATGCCTTCGGCCAAAGGGCAGTAGCCGAAGGCTCCTCTCAACGAGGGCACCTTGGTGCCGAGGGCTCACAGTACCGAGAGCTACTGTTTTCGCCGTTTTCTCCCAGTTTCTTAATTTGCTTGAGAAACCCGCTCTGTGACAATTTGGAGCCTTCGGCCAGGGGTCCGAAGGCACCCCTGTGCGTTGTGCGGACTGCTTGGTACTCTGGGCGCTGTGATTTGGGCCTGTTGGGCCTGTTGGGCCTTTGCTGGAGTAGTAGGAGTCTGTGGGCTGGGGGTTCCCGGGCCATATACTCCATCAGGAGTCCCTCACTCCTTTTGCCGAAAGGTACTTGAGGGAAAGGAGTAATTTGTGCTTGCCCTTTGATGTTGTCCTGTCGTGATCTCTGAAGTTGGTGAGGAGTTGTTGCTTTTATGTCCCTGCCGAAGGCAATCCCTCAGTTACCCACATGTCGGGACTTGAGGGCTTGCTTTGTTGTAATTTAATGATTTTCCCGAAGGGGTCCTCCAGTCCCCCACTCCTTGAGGCACTTGTAAAGTGGTGAAAAGGAGTAAAGCAGTTACGTTGCTGTTGTGGGCCGAAGGCCGACGCTTTTCGTTTCATTTTGGGGGGATGCCTCGTTAAAAACCTCATTAGGAAAAACCCTTTGGGAAAAAATCCTAATGAGGGAAAAAGAGTGCACCGAATTCCCCCAATGATGAATCGAAAATGTCAAACCTCGGTGAAAAATGGAGAATGACGGGAATGCCGAAGGCTCTCTCTTCTGAGGGCTCCTGGTGTAATGTGTTGGTTTGCCGAAGGCTTGCTGTTGATGTCCTGGTGGTGCCGAAGGGGAGCCCCTCAATCCAGGGATCGAGGGCCTGCCAGATGAGGGCAGCAGTGGAGTTGTTACCGGGGGGTCCACTGTTCGTTGATGAGTTGGTGATGAAGATACCCGAGGGCTCCCATTACCTGTGTGCCATGGGCCCTCCGTCAATGAGGCACTCCCCAGGGGCTACCCGGTTTTGCAGTGCTGAGGGGGAAACCCCGAGGGGTGCCCCTGATATGCAGCCCTGGGGATCTGAAGGAGTGATCCCGAAGGCGTGTGTAATGTGCTGTGTGGGGCACACCCGGGGGCACTTCTGGGTGAGTGCAACCGGAGGCAATCCTTGATGAAGTGGAGTGAAGTAGAAAACCCGGGGGCTTCCAGAATATAGCCGTTGGAAATATAGCCGTTGGAATATGTAACGACGGGATATAGCCGTTGGGGGGGGACACGTGGCGTGTGATGGCTGGCTGTCCGTGGGCGGCGTCACCGGTTGGGCGAAGACGCGGTGAGTAATGATGGCGTCCATCCGGAGGCCCGGAACCCAGGCCCAAGCCCGGATTCCAGCGCCTATAAATACCCCAAGGCCGGGCATTCCTCTGTGTGCGAAAAACTTGTTAGCGAAGCTCTGCCAATTTTTCTAGAGAGAGAAACAGCAGCCCCCGGTTGAATCCTCTGTTCTTAAGGTCAAATCTCCAGTTACCCTTCACCTCTTAGCTACCTGTACTGCGCCCCTAGGCTAGGAGATAGAACATTTAGAAAACACTAGTTGTGCGAGCCTTCGAACTAGAGCGCGAATGTCGTCCGAGAGTGATTCTCAAGATATCTCGAGGACGCCCTCGATGGAGGACGAAGGCCTCTCTGACGTGGAGTCAAGCAGTGGTCAACCCTCGGATGGTGGTGATGCGGCCCTAGTCCGGGAGGTCCAGAAGGAACTCACTGCTGAGGTTGAAGCCGAGGGCTTCGAGCAGGAGTGCGATGATGAAGACTTAGCCCTCGCCTGGCAGACAGCGGAGGATGAGGCACAGAATGAGAGCTCGAAGGTTACGATTGCTGTTCTCCCCCCTCGGGGTTCCGGGGAGGCCAGTAGCTCGAGGCCGTTGGATCCGATACCTCTGAGGGCGGTTTCCGGTGTGAAGAAGAAGAAGGCCGCTACCAAGAAGAAGGAGAGGGCCGTCGATCAAGGAAAGCCCGTGGACATGCCCGAGGGGTATAGTTGGCTGAACACTGAGGCCCTCGAGATCAGGTCGAAGGCTGACAGGGCAGATCTGTACGTGACTCAGCTGCACGTGGGGCCCTCGGCCGAAGTGGTGGAGCCAGGTCCCGACGACGTGTTGTCCAGGGCGCCCGAGGGGTGTATCGCTGTTCACGTCCTTTCGGTTTCCATGGGACTTAGGTTCCCTCTGCACCCATTCCTCCGGGAATATTTGCGGTTTGTTGGCTTGGTCCCCTGCCAACTCACGCCCAACAGCCACTCCTACATCGCGGGGTTCAAGTCCCGAGGGGTGAAGCCCAGCCTGGATCTATTCTTCCAGAGTTTTAATCTGTGCCGGGGGGGGGGGGGGGGCACGAAAACGGCGAGGGGTACGCCAACCTGCAGCAGATTGCCCGCTTCAAACTATTCTCCGATGCTCCTTCTTCCAACAAAGGATGGAGGGAACGTTGGTGCTACGTGAAGTTGGATGAGAGCCCCTTCCCGAGGGAGCTACGTGACCGATTCCGAAGGCACGAAAAGATCCGGAGTGCCGCTCTCGAGAAAGACGGCCTAAAGCTGGCCAAGTTCCCGGAGGGGAAAAACAAGAACGTGGCGATCAAAGACTGCACCCTCGAGGAGGATTTGTACACCATCGGGTTCCGGAGGTACCGCTTCATAGGGGAGACCGATGAAAAGTACCCTCCCTTCAACAAGGCCTTCGGAGGGGCCGGAGGTAGGAGCCGAGGGCTTTAGAATTTTGTACTTAGTTTTTTTTTCTTTTGCTTGGATGTTATCGTCCCTTCGCTTAGACCCGTCGGACTAACCCTTTGTCTCCCCTGTGCAGGTATCCCCGTCTCCATGGTGAATGTAAAGGGCCTTGCCCGTTTGAAGAAACAGGACCCGAAGGGGTCGGGACAGGGCATCCAGAAGCCCGCCACCGCCCTCTTTAAGAAAGCCGAGGGCGATGCCGCTGCCGACAAGAGGAAGGCAGTGACCAAGGGGTCCCCCCCGGCTACCAAAAAGCCGAAAAAGGGGGATGTCGCCGAGAAGGAGCCCTCGGTCATTATCGCTGATGAGCCCCCCGCCTCCGGGGTGCAGGTGGAGAAACTGCCGGGTGGAACGCCGGCGGGGGCAGAGGAGTCGCTGCCTGAGATCCTCACAGTCGCGTTCCCGAGAGGTACATCTTTGGCCAGCGGCGCCGTCGACCCGGGGGCCATCCTGAGGGGTATGACCCCTGAGACGGATAGGGCTGCCCTCGGGGCCTATAATGATGCGGCCCTCGAGGACCACATTCTCCGCTCCTCCCTCTCTGTAAGTGTTTACCTGGCTTTCTCCATCTTCTCCTTTTATTATTTTGTGTGACTGCCTTTAACTGTTTTTGTTGTTGTTCTGCAGGCTTGCTTAGCCCTCGGCGAACAGGCTCGGAGGCTTCAAGAATGGCTCCTCCACAGAGCGGAGCAAGACGCCAGAATGAGGGAGTGCCTCCTCAAGAACCAAGAGGCGGTGAAGCTGGGGGCCCAGCTAGAAGAGGAGCTCCGGCAGATGAGCTTGAAACTGGAGGCTGCAGAGAAAGGCAAGGCTGATGCTGAGGCCGCTGCCAGGAGAGCTGCTAAAGAGGCCGAGGACTCCAAAGCGCTAGCTGTCGCCAAGGCTCAGGAGGAGGCCGTTGAGGCCTTTGTCGCCGAGGGTTGGAGAGCCGAGGGGCGCAAGATGTGGGTGTCCTCGGTCGTGGAGGCCTGCGTTGAAGAATGGGCCGAGGGCCCTGGGTGGGAATGGATGGCCCGGAAGGGCAGAGAGTACTATGAAGCCGGTGAATTCTTCACCCAGGCCCTCATCTACCCGAGGATGGCCCGGCATTTGGGCATTGAGCAAAAGGACTTCTCCCCCTCGGCGTATGGCCTTCCTCCCTTGCAGCCTGATGTCCGTGAGCCGCTCCTGGAAGGTGTTCAGAGGCCCGACCTTGAGGACACGGTGTTGAAGAATGAGGCCGAGGACGACGCTGTCGATACCGGAGCGGAGGCATCATCGAGGCCGGCTGTAGAGGGCGCCCCAGTGAACGATGCTGTCGTAGTTGTGGAATGACTTTGTACTTAGAAATCTTTGAACATCTTTTGTAATGAACAACATTGTTCCTTCGGCTTCGGCCCGTTTGTAAATTCACACTTACTCTTGTTTTTGATGAAATGCATGCTGCCTCCGGGCTTTTCATATTCGAATACGCCTTATGTTTTGAATGTATGCCTTCTCCTTTGAATGTATGTCTAGGACTTAGGATACTATCTGATTGTAGCTAGCCCTTAGGAGCCTTCGGTAGTTGGGCACCCTCTGCTGGATATGCAACCGATGGTTCGGCAGCAATTAGGACTCAGAAAATTTTTTCTAAGTGTAGCACAGCATGAGGCCTTCGGGGCGTTTGTAGTAACCCACCTCCTAGGACTTAGAAAAATCTCTAAGTGTAGATTCCCCCTTGAGAGCCTTCGGGATACGGCGCCCATTCCTGATGTGTGAATGTTGGACCGAGGGCCCAATGCACAGGACTTAGAGATTTTTGCAGGTGTAGTATGCCATGTAGCCTTCGGCTACTGTGGAGCCCCACCTGTAATATTGAATAGGCCGGGGGCTAATTCTTTTAGGACTTAGAAGATTTTCTTGAGTGTTGATTCCTTGTGAACTGTAGCCCTCGATTGATAGGTAGCCTTCGGCAATTAGGTCCCTTGAGATGAGGGTGAAATATGTAGGACTTAGAAAATCTTCTAAGTGTAGAGTTTCCCTCGAGAGCCTTCGGGAGGTGTCATACCTCCATGATGTATGAGTAGCTGACCGGGGGGAAAGCATGTAGGACTTAGAAAATATTCTAAGTGTAAAGTCTCCCTTGGGAGCCTTCGGGAGATGGCATCCCTTCTTGGTGTATGAGTAGTTGACCGGGGAAAACATGTAGGACTTAGAAAATATTCTAAGTGTAAAATCCCCCTTGGGAGCCTTCGGTAGATGGCATCCCTCCCTGATGTAAGAGTAGTTGACCGGGGGGGAAATACATGTAGGACTTAGAAAATATTCTAAGTGTAAAATCCCCCTTGGGAGCCTTCGGTAGATGGCACCTCTCCTTGATGTAAGAGTAGTTGACCGGGGGGGAAATACATGTAGGACTTAGACAATATTCTAAGTGTGAATTTTCCCTTGGGTGCCTTCGGGTGATGGGTGCCCTCTGATTCCACATCACTTTGCGAGATGCCCGGGGGCTACTCATTTAGGACAGAATACCCTTTTTTTAAGTGTTGTTGTATTGCATGGCCTTCGGCCACCATATTCCCTTGGTTGTAATATTGATTGGGCCGGGGGCCCAATCTTTAGGACTTAGAATTTTTTCAAGTGCTGCTTCCCTGTGTAGCCTTCGGGTGCCCGGGGGCTGCTCCTTCAGGACTTAGAATTTTTCTAAGCATAAATTGATGTTGAATCCTGTTGTTGTGAAGAAAGCCGATGAGGAGTGTGTGCCCTCGGCATACACTCTAAAAGTTGTAGAATTTGACCCTTGTCATGGGGAGAGAGCCCTCGGCATTTGTGCATAACAGATGCCTTCGGTGTTTGTTTGAAGTACCGTTTAGTGGACCTTGGATAGTCCAGTCCCTTTGTATTGTTGAAGCCCTCGGTGTTTTTGTGATCGGAGGTGACCAGGTAGTGGATTTAGCCGTTTCCTGATGATATTTCTTTGAGTAGTATCCTTCGGGAAATAGGAGTCTTCAATTACCGGAGGTGTTCCCGTGGGGAGCCCTCGGCATGTTGTGATTTTGTTGGAGTGTACTCTTTGATTTCTCGCTGAGTCTACTCCCCTTCACCCCTTTTTTTTTTTGGTTGGTGGTGAAGGGAAGGCATCAAGAAACTTGGTTTCTTGGTAAGGCTGGGCCTATTAGGAGACCATCAGAATACACCAATGGCTCTCCTCCCTCGGGTTAACCTTCCGAGTTCCGAGGGGATCGAGGGACGTTTCCTGGGCACAAGATATGGTGGTCCGTAACCTGCCTCCCCTTGGGGGATGGTGCGGAAAGCGCCTCATTTTTGAAAGTCGTCCCCTCGGCGCTAGACATAGTCTGTTGCCTGCCACACCCTTGGGGTGGTGGCGCGGGGAGCGTTTCGGTTTGGAAGTCGAATCCTGGGCATTTCTCATGCCTGTCATACCCTGGGGGTAATGACGCGGATAGCGTTCCGTTTTTGAAAGTCGAATCCTAGGCATTTCTCATGCCTGTCATACCCTGGGGGTAGTGACGCGGAAAGCGTTTCAAGGAAGGGTTTTCATTTGCACACTAGTTGCAAATGGCCGGGGGCACTACGTGCCGCCGGCACCGATGGTGGCGCCTTCGGTATATGCGTCCTCGTGGGGTACGGCTTTTAGAAACAACACTTGGTGTTAGTTTCGATGTGTAGCCCCCGGTACTTGGTACCGAGGGGTCTTCTGTAGGAACACTTGGTGTTCTCTTTTGTTGTAGTTGATGTAGGCGTCTACCCTCGGTACTTGGTACCGAAGGGTCTTCAAATGAAACACTTGGTGTTTCCCAATAGATGTTTGGAAGTTGAGAGGAGAGTATATCCCTGGCACTGGGTGCCGAGGGGTCTTCTTTGACGATATTTGATGATGGAGGTGTACCCTCGGTACTGGGTGCCGAAGGGTCTTCTGTAGGAACACTTGGTGTTCTCATATTTTCTTTTTGATGTTGAAGGGGGGGGATGTACCCTCGGCACTTGGTGCCGAAGGGTCTTCTGTAGGAACACTTGGTGTTCTCATCTTTTCTTTTTTGATGTTGAAGTTGGGGATGTACCCTCGGTACTTGGTACCGAGGGGTCTTGACTGAAAACATGTGGTGTTTTCACTGTTTGTTGTAGGTGTTGATGGTGTCCTCCCTCGGCACTTGGTGCCGGAGGGGGTTCTTCTCGTGGTGAGGCCTGGGGCTTGTAGTCAGTATGAGGGCTTGATGTCTTGAATGTATCTTCATTCTTCGAAATTGGAGGCCTCGGGCCATAGGATAGTACATTTACTAATTATGAGGGCTTGGCCGCTCTTACATTATTGATAAAATTTAACTAAATGGTGTACATTCCAGTGCCTAGGGACTTCTTTCCCATTGGGGCGTTTGAGCTTGTAGGTCCCGGGTTTGATGATGGCTGCTATGATGTAAGGGCCTTCGAATTTTGGTGCCATTTTTCCTCCCTCGGTTGGTTGGCTGGCTTCCCTCCTCCGGAGGACATAGTCCCCCACTTGAAATTCTCGGGTGCGAACTTTGGCGTCGATGTAGCCTATAACTTGCCTTCGGTAGTTTTCTGCCCGGATGAAGGCTTGCTCCCGGCGTTCTGAGATGAGGTGGAGGTCGAGGGCCATATTGCTGTCGTTGACCTCGGGGTCATATTGGATCACCCTTCGGGTGGGAATGGTGACTTCCGTAGGAGCTTTGGCTTCAAAACCGTAGCAGAGGGAGAAGGGTGTTTCACCTGTTGCTCGCCGAGGGGTGGTGCGATAGGCCCAAAGGATGTTGTGGAGTTCTTCCACCCAGCCACCTCCCTCGGCCTCCAGCTTCTTTTTGAGGCCCTCGAGTAAGGTCCGGTTCGCATTCTCTACTTGCCCGTTGCCTTGAGGGTAGGCAACGGAGGAGAAGGTGTGTTTGATGCCCCATGCCTCCAGAAGGGCACAGAAGGGGGCTGCCTCAAATTGTGTCCCATTGTCGGAGATGATCTGCTGGGGGACGCCAAACCTTGTGAGGATGTTCTTGAGGACGAAGTGACGGCACTTCGCCTCTGTGATGCTGGCGAGGGGTTCAGCCTCCACCCACTTGGTAAAATAGTCGACGGCCACAATGATGTATCTGTTGTTGGAGGTACCCCTCGGCAGAGGGCCCACAAGGTCTATCCCCCATCGAGAAAATGGGACAGAGGTGCTGATGGGGGCATAGTTGACCGCTGGCCTGCCGGGAGCTTTTTGGAAATGTTGACATGCGGTGCACCTCCGGGCAAGATCAGCACAGTCCCTTGCCATGGTTGGCCAGAAGTAGCCCTGGAGAATGAGCCTTCGGGACATGGAGAAGGGTCCCTGGTGAGCTGAGCAAGTGCCACTGTGTACTTCCTCCATTGCGACCTCGGCTTCATCTGGATGAAGGCACCGAAGTAGCGTGCCATTGTAAGATCGTTTGTAGAGCCTCCCATCTTCGATGGTGTAGCTAGGAGCCCTCAGTTTTGCCAGTTTAGCGCGGGTCTCATTCTCGGGTAGCTGCCCTGTGGAGATGAAGGCGGTGATGTCTGAGATCCAATCCTCCTGACGTTGTTGTATGTTCATCACGGGGCTTGCATGGATGCTTGAGAGGCTGAGTTCCTCGATTTTGGCAATTTTGGAGATGTGCTCGGGGGAGTCTGCTGAGAGTTTAGATAATATGTCGGCCTCGGAGTTCTGAGCCCTCGGTATTTGGGTGAGAGAGTGTGCCTCAAATACTTTAAGCAACTCCTTGGCCGCCTCCTTGTACTGTTTCATTCTTCCCTCCTTAGCCTCATATTCTTCGGAGATTTGGCCAACGACCAACTTGGAGTCGCATTTGATGTGGATCTGCCGAGCCCTCATGTTGGCAGCCAGCCGAAGGCCACATAGGAGGGCCTCATATTCGGCCTCGTTGTTGGAGACCTTGAAGGAGAAGCGGATTGCATAGTAGGCCCTGAAGCCCTCGGGAGTAATGAGGACTACCCCTCCCCCGCATGCTTTGGTCGCGGAGGAGCCGTCAGTGTAGAGGGTCCACCAGTCGTCCGAGGTAGCCGAGGGCTCCCCGTCCGTGGCCGCCCTTGCGGTACATTCCGTCACAAAGTCCGTTAGGGCTTGGCCCTTGATGGCAGGCCTTGGACGGATGTCAATGTTGTACTGGCTCAAGAAGATAGCCAATTTAACTATGCGGGAGGAGCTGGTGGGGCTCCTCATGAGGGCGCCGAGGGGTTGATGAGTGAGGACCTGAACGGGGTGAGCCTGAAAGTAGTGGCCCAACTTCTTGACAGTCCAAACGATGGCCAACACCGTTTTTTCCACAGGGGAGTACCTGAGCTCGGCCTCCCTTAGGGTCTTGCTAACGTAGAAGATGGCATGTTGGATGCCGTCTTCCTCCCTTATGAGTACAGAGCTGATGGCCGCCGGGCTAACCCCGAGGTAGAGGTAGAGGGTCTCCCCTACCTTGGGTTTG